CACAACTGGTGATCAGGATGAATGACCAGATGACATAAAACCAATTTGCTATTTAACATCTAGATGAGCAATCAAAGCAAAACCAAAGTACTTGGCACACAATGTAGATGCAAAAGTTCTTATCTAAAGTCTGAAGATCCCAAGAAAGTGACCTATTTTAGATATTCCATTCATTGCTTTTATAAATATTAGTCTCCTAGTATGAGTCCCTTTTAAAACTGTAGTTTGGGACTGCTTGCTCCCAGTCTTTTCCTCATTTAGGCACTGCTCATTACCAATCTTTAATCATGTACAACAGAGAGACTTGCATTATTCTCTGCCTGTTCTTTTGCATACGTTCCACCACTAAATGGAATCAATGTATTTTTAGATCAAATTACTTCACAAAGTTCACTTTTTATTCCTTCTTGCACAATGTGGCACATAAGGACAGGTGGCTTCTTGAAAAAATACTGCTTGTTTTCAACAGTTTATTCATATCTACAGACAACAGATTTCAAAGACTGATGCACAAACTTCTAGATGAGATGGCGAATTTTTCATTCCTGGAGGCAGGTGGATAACTCCAGCAAGTGACAGCTTCATCTTGGGTGCCAATATTCTCTCTGTACCAACTTTCATCATTTTTAGATCAGGTTCAGTGTCTTCACTGTGATGAAGCTCTTATAAAGATTGCTGCCTCCACTATGAGTGGGATACGGAGCAATAACGAAACTGCTGCAGTTTATCTCCCAGAGGTATAGAAGTAAAACACCACCACTTACCTAAATAAACTGGGCTGTAAAGTGTGACAGTTCAATAACAGCTTCATGGGCAGCTCACCTATTCCTACAGGAAGATAAATTCAGTCCTGGAAAGTAGAGGTCACTGGACAGGTGAGGGCATGCCCCATGATAGGTGTGATGAGGTAAACTGTCCCAGCTAGTTGGAAAGAATCCAGCCCCTTCTCAGCCTCTGGGACTAACTGGCACAGATTTCAAGCTCCAAATTAATAATCTGCTGAGCTTTAATAGAATGTAAGTATTTAAACGTAGAATCAGTTTTACTAAACTGAATGGGATTACTTTAACCTCCATTTAAAAAGTAATTTGATAGTTTTCAGCAGTGTGTATCAAGGTGTGTCCACCCTTGCTGATTCAGAACTTTGCAATATGGTGATGCTGCAGATCAGCATAAATCTGCTTTAGTGTCAGGTGCATGGAGATCACTGAAACTACAGAAGTACCTTGGTGTTACACAGAAGGCACTCTGAACAGTGCCTGTAGTAGCATGTTGTGTCTGTTTGCACTGTCAAACAGAGGACAAAACAGACTGGCTTCTCACTTTCTTTTTCATTGTTTAAGAATATTTACATTTTTGTTTTATAGTTTTATTTCTATTTTTTAATTTTACCTACTTCATCTCTATAAATAAAGAAGAAATCCCAAGTGTTACTATTTAGCAAATGCATTAGCAATTGCTCTGAAATATCACTCTTTTTTTTTTTTTTTTTTTCTTTTGTGGTTGGTATAATAAAATAATTGGAAGAACAACATGGTGTCTACATTACTCAAAAATAGCTGTTACTTTAACTGAGTGCAGAAAACAGACTGTGGTGGTGTAAGAATCTGGAACAGTCACCTGTCAGTCAGCTAACCTCAGGGTGCACTGTCTCTATCTGAGCAGACACAGCTTCTCAGCACTGTAATTCCTAAAGACTTCTCCCTCACCTGTCATTTTAGAACAGCTATTGTCCTGAATTCAGCAACCAACACTGTAATTCCCATACACACAACCACAGACAAAGTCTGACAGTCATTAATATACATGAGCTCTAAGATTTATCGTCCAGTTGACCTAAATACATCTCTACCTGTTGCGTATCAGGAATCTGACAATCTTATTCCCTAGAACAGTTCTAAGGAGTTAAGCAAGTTCAGTCACTCACAACTGCAAATGATTTTCATAATTGTACAATGGAGACAGTCACAGGAGACACCAGGTGTCACATTCCCACTCCAGTGTGGGGATTTAAAGAAGAATGAATATTTTCTGGTGCGGGTGACCTAGACATGTAAGCAGCAGGAAGCCAAAAGCTAAAAATGTAATTTGAACCTGAGTCTTATTTCAGTCTTCAGTGTATGGATTCTTCTTCCTGTGTTATTGGGTACTATTTTCCTCCCTAAAACATTTTATGTTCTGGCTGTGCTCTCCTTATCATTCCCCTCCCTTTCAGCCTCCAGGGGGAGAAACAAAAAAGAAAACACATACAATTAAGGAAGTAACATAGATTGGTGTTTTTAGTATTCCAGGACTAAATTTTTGGCCTGGGTAACTTCAGTGGTTGTTGTGTACCCCCTCCTTTGCCAACAGCTATTGAAGTAGCACAACATGCAGAAGGTCTGTAATGAAGGACATGAGCCCTGAGCCATCAACCATGAGGCTACTGGCTGAATTATTTCACCTGCTCATTTTGCAGTTGCTGTAAACAAACCTAAAATAAACATGCATCACCCCAGCTATAGTCACCTTCCTCATGTCATTCAAATTACAGAAAGCTATAGAATCTGATTTTTTTAGAACACCTCTGTAACACTTTGCAGACATCAACTAAAAAATAGTACTTAAAATTGTGAGATTCAATACTCCTGCCTAACAGATGGAAAAATTGAGAGAAAGGCAAAATTACATTTTCAAGATTATACAGCAAGTCCGTGGCAGAGTACAATTACAATTCAGAGCCTCCTAGTTTCTAATCCTATAATCCTCTTTCCAAAATCTATTGAGCACAACCAAATATGCTGTTTCAGTGATGGCCATGAATGCTCCACACCAGGTACCTCAAACTGGCTGTTCAGACACATGAACTGTTTACAGCCATAATAAACATTTGAATTCAAATTGCTTCACATCTTGTTTCTGACCAGCAGCCCTACATTCAAAGGGTTTAATTAGGAAAAAATTTTCCTCATTGTAAGTTGTTGAAATAAGATGCTGAGTCAGCACTGCATAAAAGCTTGTCTTAGGCCAAAGGGGAAGATGAAAACTGTAATTTGTGCCTCTCTCTGCTGCACAGTAATCCCAGCCCTAAATTTCACCCATGTCAGAGTGCAGACCAGCCTGGCAGAGTGAACTTCTCAGGGTCCCACACACTGCTGAATTCAGAAAGTCTTCCCAGGTAATTAATGACTGCTGCTCCTCACCATGGCAATTCATACTTGCAGGTGTCTCTTAACCATCTGACACTGCTCCTGGCAAGAGAACCCTTAAACCTTTGAGTACCTCCTCAGTAACCCACCAGCAGAGTTTGTTTTGTACCAGTGAGCTGCCTTTTTCTGACTGAACCAAGGGGTTGGATGAACTGCCTGAGGCAGTAAGAGCACCTGCCAACTATCTTTCCTAAAAAGTCCAACCAACCAACAGACCCTCACTTCATCTCATGCCCAATCCACAGGTCAGTCCTTACTATCCACTGGAAAAGTGGGTAGGCGTGGAAATCATTGGTTTCTTTGGTCATGCACTTTTAGTTTAAAGGTGTACTAATAGCTAAACTCACAAGGCATCACAGAGGTTCACAACTGCCTGAGGCAGTAAGAGCACCTGCCAACTAACTATCTTTCCTAAAAAGCCCAACCAACCAACAGACCCTCACTTCATCTCATGCCCAATCCACAGGTCAGTCCTTACTATCCACTGGAAAAGTGGGTAGGCGTGGAAATCATTGGTTTCTTTGGTCATACACTTTTAGTTTACTTTAAAGGTGTACTAATAGCTAAACTCACAAGGCATCACAGAGGTTCACAGCACACAGGCCTTTTCTTCTGCTGGAACAAAACACACAGCACACACCTACACATGTGTACCATTAACACTGAGAATCAGAGCTTTTAAAATCTTCAGTTCCTAAGACAGCTTAACCGTCAAAGCACGTTAAAGGTGTGAAACATTTCCAAGAAATTTCTGTGCTTACATTTTGCTTTCATGCACAAGCTGAGGGTATTTAGAAGGTAGAAATTCTTTTTCATGAGCATCCAAATTTCAATCACACCTTTTGAAGCACAGCAAGTTTTCCACTACTTCAAGGTCCTTGATTTTGAGGAGCCTTACACATTTTCAATCAATCTGTCTCTCTAGTTAGATGAAACTAGCCTGTTCTCTCTCCTCCCACTGCCATGAATTCATTTGAAAGCCCCCTAAGACAGATGTGTACATTAACTAACCTGCTCCTCTCTCTCCAAACCCTCATTTCCAGTGATGAGATAGATAAGTGAAAAGACAAAACACTCAACATATGGAAAACCAATAATTATTGCCTCTGGAATGCTTAGCCACAGCTTTAGAGGCTTAGAGTCTTCTTGTCTACAAACACTGAATAAAAACCGTATTAATTATAAAAGTTATTGCAATTGTAAAGTTGTAGAATTATAACTGAGAATTGTAACTGGGCAGAAAAGGTCTTCAAGTCATCATACTATCCAATGTTACAGCAACTTGAAATAAAGTGCTTAACCAATTTCACCTCTTTCACTTTCTCACAGTACTCTGGCACACTTGTAGCTGTAACAGGATAGTTTTCTGAAAGTTGAGTTTGGTACCATTTGCTAAGAACTTGCAGTTCAGAGGATGATCAAACACTCCTGCCTCAAGCAGAGTCATACTGAGAAGTGTGAGGAATATCACAGGTGACTGAAGCAATTTTGGCTCTAATTAATGAATACCAGTCCACTAGTTGGCATTCAACGTTAAGCTTGGCTATATGACCTCTAAGATTACTGCTCTCAGTCATTCTCTCCATACCTGTTAGGAGAGAATTCTTTCAAGGGACACAAGAAAAGAAAAATATTCTTAAGCCTCACCAATTGACGAGAGTGAGCCCTAAAGCTTTGCAGAATCTTACAGCAAGTGAGATGGAATCTGAAACTGCACACCTGAGTTTGAAACTATCGGTTCTGTTATCAACATCCTGGGTGGGGGAAGGGTGTTTAAGAAAAAACCCGCAGTGTTGTAGTAATGAAATCAATGGAGTTTATTTTCATTTTGGGAGTTTATTTTCATTTTGCTTAATTAAACCCAAATACACCTCAGAGTCCAGTGATTCAGCTTCACCCTTCCTAATTTAACAGCGCGGTGATTTTAAGGCTTCACGTTTAAGACGACAGGAGATCCTGAAGCCTGCTGTTTCCCACTTCAGTTCTCCGTCCGCATCCAAGGCCTGAAATTCCGGCAAGGGCCGTCAAGATCGCACCTCGCTCTAGGTGCTCCAAAGATGAAACATTGTCACGCACACGATTTCGCGACTCGGGTCCCCAGCTGCCAGCTCCCGGTGACCGGGGGGCTCCGTGCCCGGCCGCCGAACACGGCGCCAGCTCTGTGCCCTGCGGGGTCCCGGCCGGCGCTACCCCTTGCGCTGCTTGTGCCGGGGGTTGCTCTTGCAGCACACGTAGAGCCGCCCGCGCCGCCGGACGATGTAGCAGTCCTTGCAGCGCCTCCTCAGCGCCGTCTTCGTCTTCAGCCCGGCCGGCAGCGGCGGCCCGGGCGGCGGCGGCACGGCCAGCAGCCCGCGGGGCGCCCGCCACGGCGGCGGGGCCCAGCTGGCACACGCTGCGGGCAGCCCCGCCACCCGTCCCCACGGGGCCAGCGAGCACAGGGACGAGCGGCACAGCGAGCGCAGCGGGGCGGCCGTGGCGGCGGCCCTGACCAGGAGGGACAGCATGCTCGGCACCCTGCGGGGACAGCGCGCCGGTCAGGACACACGCACCGCTCCCGCTCCCCTCCTCCTCTCCCGCCGCTACCTCCACACCGCCCACCGCCCCCACCGACGAGGACGGCGCTGCCCGCTCACCCCGCGACAGGCACCGCGCCCCGCCCGCCGCCGCGTGTCCCCCCGCCGCCGGAAGCGCGCGCAGGAACCGGGGCGGGGCGAGGCCCGCGCCCGCCTAACCGGGAGTCACGTGGGCGGCGCGAAGATGGCGGCGCCCACTGCGACCTTCCGCTGGCTCCTGCCGCGGAGCCGCCCGCTGCTGTCCCGCCCGGGGCTGGCTGCCGCCGCCGCTGCCCGGCCCTACGGTGTGCGGGCCTCCGACACCGGCGAGCTGGTGACGCACACGGGGCAGGTGAGCGCGCGGGGCCCGCTGCTGCCGCCCCTCCGCTGCTCGGGGAGGGCGGCGGGCGCGTCCCGCCGGCGCCTGCGGGGAAATGCTCCGAGCCGCGAGCAGCGCGCTGGTGTGATGTGATGTAACGTAACGGGGAGGCTTAGGCTGGGCATCGGGCGGAATTTCTTGCCGTAAACGGTGGTTAGGTGCTGGAACAGGCCGCCCAGGGAGGCGGTGCAGCGCCCGTCCCGGGAGGTGCTCAGGAAATGGCTGGGTGTGGCGCTTGGTGCCACGGCCTGCTTGACATGGTGGCGTTCGGTCACTGGTTGGCCGATGGTGTTAGAGGGCTTTTCCAACCTAATTTATCCCCGTTCAGCGCGTACAGTGGAAATTCATGCTCCTGGGCGATCCGTACGCAGGAGGTACGTGCTGTTTCGGGAAAAAAAAAATAAAAAAAAAACAACCCAAAAAACAACAGCCTAAAAATCCCCTGTTAATCAGGATGAGGGTCATTGGCCATTACCGAGCGTCCCGGTCCGAATCCGACCTGTGACCCAGCCCAAGAGTTGACAGGTGGAGGAGGGCACCATTTGTCAGTGCCGTGTAACTCCAGGTTACCTCTTTTCCAGTGGAGAAGCTGAGGCTCGTGTGGAGCCTTGGGATGGGAGAGAGGATGGTGGGTGCAGCTAACTTGGGAAAGCTCACTCTGTGGTTACTTAGCGGAACAGAAATAAATATGAAACCTGAATTTCTCAGTTTAGTTCACCATCTAGGTGCGATCAAGGAACGACATTATAAATGGTACATTTGTGTTCACCTCTGTGATCAGGCTCTTCTGTTTCCTGGCTTTCATGCCAGCCCCGACACAACCAGTTTCCTTGTCTGTTGTACTTTCCAATGTACAATTTTGGAAGCTAGTTTTTCTGTATACTACGTGCTTGTAAGGTGATAATATTTGAAACTAAGTATACAGTTCAAGCTACTTATTTTCTCAGTCTTTGTGTTCTGTGTTTATAGTTGTTGCTCTGTAAATAAGATCAAGTTTATTTTACACCCTAGGTATATGACGAGAAGGATTATAGAAGAATTAGATTTGTTGGACGACAAAAGGAGGTAACTCATTCTACCATTTTTCATGGGAGATGGGGTATTTGAGGGTTTTTTTTCTTTACCTAGTAGTAGTGTCTTCAACCTCATTGTCATTAAAAAACCGCAAACAAAAAAAGCCCAAAAACCCCCAACAAGCAAGAAACCAAATAAACCCAAACCCCACAACCTAAACCAACTAACCAATGAGCAAAAAAAAAAAAAAAATTCCTAACAAACAAACAAACCCTACCCAAACCAAATTGGTTTGGATTTGGGTTTCAGTGGAGTTTTTTTTTCACTATGGTGAAAAATTTTTTTAAGGCAGCTTATAGTTGCTTCTGTCTTACTTCCCTGCTTTTGGTAAACTTGAAAAACTCAAGACTTGCTCTACATTTGTTAAGTGCTTGCACTTAGGGTGTTAAGAGTTGTAGGCATTTGAACATCTTAAACTTGGAACAGCTTTTGTTTTAAACATGTGTTTTAAGAAGTTGTTAGTGTGCTTTTAGCACATTTGTATTCAGAAAAACTACATCATTAAATACTCTGCTGAATTGGTCATCTGTTTAGATACCTTTTTGCATCTGTTTTGAAGCTTAGTTTGCTTCTGTGTAGTTAAAATTCTGATCTTTACCCAAATTACGTTTTTTTATGAGCCTGAGAAGCATTTGCTGAAAGAGTGATGAAACGAATAAAAGTATCGGCTACTTGTGTAACTTTGTAGGAAATGCTCCTTAAGCCTGATTCTCCACGGGGCAGTGCAGCAATCCCTCTAATATGCCTTTGCCATCAGGTAATTTTCTATGTAGTGTGGAACATCCAAGGTTTTCAGTTCAGCCCAGTTCTTCCTTCTCCAGCAAAAGCCAAGCTCTGTGTCTGCTGAGCAAAGTTTAATGCTAAGTTTTAATGGTGAAATTGGGACAAAGTTTACGTGTTAAATACTTTAAGCTATCTGTGCCTATTAATAGGATCTCTCTCTAGGGGCTTTGCCGTTATCCCACAGTGTGTTTCAGCTGCCAATATTAGGGTTGACACCTGTGTCTGTAGTCTGAATGTTGTCATGTTTCTGAAGAAGAAGCTCTCCTGGTGACTGTTCTTTCTTGGTTGCTTCTTCCCTTTGCCTTCAGTAGGTCCAGGTGGTTGAGTCCTGCTTGGGATAGGCCCATTCCAGCTTTGCTCTCTGGGGGGACACAGCCTCTGGACTCCCCCACAGTCTGGGTGTCTGAGCCTGTGCACTTCAGGCGGCGAGGCCCAGGGGCATGGCCTAGAGTATGTGCTTGTTGTCCCCACGGTTCTGCCAGCCTAGTTGTTAGTGACATCCATGTGTTTTTAGCTAAAATCATTGGCTCTCTGTGGAGAACTGGGGATTAGTGCTTCTGGCAAAGGCCTAAAGCAGGAAGCTGTGAGAAAACAGATCATGGCAACAGCTAAACTGCATCTGCCACAGTCCAAGCAGGTCATCCTGCCCCTCTGTAATCCCTAAGGTCATCCTGCCCTTCTATAATCCCTAAGGTAGAGCAGGACCTATTTCAACACTGCCATTCCCACTTCAGCTCTGCTCTTTCTTTTGGGCTGGTGCAGCAGCTGAAGGTCTGGGGAGGACTCACCTCAGTGCTCGTCTGTTTTAAATATTTTCTCCTGCCTTCCCTCTACATCTTTGGACTGAGACCAAATCCAAGTTTGGTTTCATCTCTTTGGTTTCCCGTATCATGGACTGGCACAGGTGGATAGGTGGGAAGAAGCAGAAACAAAATAGTTAAACTGGCCCTCTGTCAGGAAAAAAATAGCCCATTGATTTATCCTTGGAGCAAGGCACATCTGGAGGTGCTGAGGGAATCAGCCTCTTCCTGATGAGTACTGCCGTGCTTTAGTTGAAGGGTTATGTTGTAACTGCAACCACATGGGCTTGGTTTTTTTTGTGGTGTGTTTTCCTGGTGAATTCCTAGGCTGTCTTGTTTAGTAGGCTGAACTGCAGACAAGTCTTAGCTATACGGTGGATGAGAGGACTTTGTTTCTCTCTTTCCCTACAAGTACCTTTTGTGGTTAAGAAGTGTTGGGATGAGTGGAGTTCTTGCTTCTAATCTTGAAGCAAAGATGTATAATGGTTTTATCTCCCTCCTCCTTTAGCACAAAATGAAGGATGCACAATTTTGAGTGTTATTAAAAACAGCAGAAAAAGTTCTTGCTGTTTGGCAAAAATTACATGACTTGTGAATGCAGCCCCAGATAGTGGGGCTCTTGATGTTGCCAATTTCTTTCAATACCGGAACCTAATTTTTTTGCTAACTTTTTTTAGCTGTCATCTTCTTTTGGTAAGGACAAATTCTTAGTTGGCAAAACTGACTGCCATTACTGTAACAAAAACATGGAGATTTTGGGGGAGACTTAATGGGAGGCTTGGTGGAAGATGCTAAAGTGTTATGTACTAGTATTGTATATAAAAACACTATTGTAGTTCCTAGGGATTTATGTAATGAACACATAGCTGTCTTTTTCCTAAGAATCTCATCTTTATTCCAATATCAGCATGTTTATACACAGAGCAGTGCATACTGCGTCCTTTGGGCGTGCATGTTATTTGATATTCCTGCATGTATATCATGGCCTTTGAAAAAGGTGGCTCCTCCTGGAATATTTTGCAATGAGTTGTAGCAGTAGTTTTCTGCTCAGTGCACACTTGGAGAGTGTCAGGTTGCTGTAGGTCCTGCTGAGGGACAAGCTGCTGTGTCACCAGCCTGTCCAGACATGGATATGTTTTCCAGGCCATGCAGGTGTGCTCTAGGAAGAAGCCCTACTTGTCAGTGATGTGCATATTCAGGAAGTGTGTATTATGGATTTACAGCGTGGAGTAGTGGCATTTAGAGATTTTTCCTTTTTTCTGATGCTAAACAGTTTGTCTTTCTGACTGTTGTTATGCACCACATTCATGTTTTCATGAGATTCCTGTACCTTGATAGAATAAGGTACATGGCTAGAGACTCTAAATTACCAGCAGTTGTTTTATCTCATGCCTGACCTTACTTGTCTCACTATTATTTTTGAGTTTATCAGCAGAGATTCTTCTGCAGTTTTATCAAGTAGTCACTAAAGCAGAATATGGTTAAATATTTCTGTTCTTGTCTGCTTGTTTCCAGTCACCTCTGTGCTGAGTCTGCTGAAGCCTGAGCACTGATGTGGCCTGTATATCAGGGGAAAGGGATTACTTTTGCAGAGTTCAGTGTATAGTTCCTTGATCTCTCTTATAGCAGAGCCTTAGAGATGGTGCAGGAGTTGGGAGGAAGCCTAAGCAGGAATTTCTCATAATGGCTGTAGTGGAACTGCCTGAGGAGACAGCAAATAGCAATTGCTTTCTGTTTGAGTGGGGATGATATCTCAGAGTTTCCCTCTTTCTCTTACAGGTGAACAAGAATTTTGCAATTGATTTGATAGCAGAGCAGCCTGTGAGTCAAGTTGAAAGCAGAGTGATATCGTGTGATGGTGGTGGTGGAGCTTTGGGACATCCCAAAGTATACATAAACTTGGTAATGTCATTATTCTGCATATAGCATGTTTTGCCTATGCATTCTTTTTTGTAAGATCATCTGGTTTTTGGAATGCTAGTTTAACAAAATAAAAGGAGTAACCACCTGAGGTGCTCATTTTATTTGATGCCTGATAAAAATCAGAAGAATTAGATGGCTTCTATTTGAAGTTATAGAAATGCCTTTTTGAAATTTTGGTTTGTTTAGCAGGACAGTATTTTTTAAAAAGGAAATCAGGTGAAGTAGTAAGAGTAACCACTGAGAGCAA